AGCGTCACTGGCCCTTTAACCTTGTATCTGCCCTCACTGCTCTTAGAGAAAATTGAATTTCAATGTTGGGTCATTTTATAAATGATTAAAATGTTCTAACAGTGAATGCATTACATTTTTATCCTAATCTCTCAGCAGGCAGTATTTCACCTCAGCAGCTTATATAGAGTTCCACAGAACCTTCATTTTATCAACAATAATAGCATGGACTTGTCCTTTGGTTATATGATTGGACTAGATTGGAATTAAAAAACAAGTACACGGACGTAATACATAAAGCCCATGCTGATCCAATCTCAATAGAGGGAAAATCTTTTCTTTATCTACTTACCTAAACTTGCAAAACAAGTGAAATGGAATTTTCATATGACCTTTGCTTTTTCACATTTGAGGGAAAAACTATAGGACAGATCCAGTGGAGTGGAAAAAAAAAAAAGAGTCGTCAATGTTTTAAAACAGAAGCGGTCACTCAGCTCCTGAGGCTTGGAGAAAGCTCTTACCACTCAAATAGCTTCTCATAAAATGTTTAGGAGTTATATAAGCCAGCAGGAGGAGGAGGGTTATCACCATGTTATAATTAGTAAGCGGTTGGGGGAAATAGGAAGTTAAATTAAGTAGGCAATGAATGCAAGCTAAAGAGCAAAGTAGTTGTTGGACTTGACCCAAAGAACTATTTTATTCATTGTGAAAAAACAACAACAACAAAAAAACTTCCTAAGAGTTCTAAGGTAATAGAGTTAAGTGTGTAAAAAACCCAAACAATTATACACATTTTAGGAAAACTTTGAATCAATATTGCCACAAATACGACGACCAAACCAACGAAGACAGACCAACTTTCTTGATTTGAGTGTGTTGGCCACTGCACTTAAATCAGTGTCAACAGGGGGTGCTAAAGATAATTTCCAAGATCATGTAAACATTTAAGGTAAAGTCATCCTGGAAAAGTTCACATAAACAGTGTGGCATTTATTGGCACATTGGCTTTTTGACTAAAATTAAAAAATCTGAAGTGATTAGTCTTTGCATATCGGTCAGTCAAGGGTTAAAACATGAAAGTTTGTTCAACACATGCTAACTGTATATATTTCAAGTGAATTAGCCCTAACCCTAATATTCTCCAGTTGACCAATCATTTTCTGTTCATTAAAACCTAAACTGGAACACGTGTCGATCTCTTTTTGCAGCACAGTCAATCAACTGTTATTTTGGCCCATTTCATCCTCTTTCCCCTCATACTGTAAATAAGCCAATGTCAATAAAGTGATGACTTCTAGAAGCCAAATGTCCTTGAGACAACACTAACAGCCACACTGTAAAATTAGTGACGGATGGAAGAAATGCTTTGCTATGGCAGATTGGAACAACTTGAGACCTTTAAAGCCTCGAATCCATCATAATTTTATGCTTTTATGTTTTCAGTTACTTTCGGTAACTGAAAACTACTGTACATTTGTACCATTGTACAAATGCATCTACCGCAGTATTTGCAGTTGTCACAGCATTTTCTACAGTACATTACGGTGCATTTTTCCATTAAAGTGTCAGCCATTGTAACCCAAAGTAACATTTTCATTTGCCATATAAAACTTCTGGTTTTCGCACTTTTTTGACAAGTGATTTTCATACTTTTCTTTTTTGCCTTGCAGCTTGACCACCAGCTGAACACTGACTGATCAGTGTTTAGCGCCTCCTGACTGTTGTTTACCAGAGTCGGCTCTATCCCTCAGGAGTCAGAGCCGCTGTAGTGGAAAACATTAGATGAGCACAGGTCTTATTGAAAAAAGAGATGCTCTCACCTAGAGTAAACATGAAAACACTGAGGCTCGTTGCCTAAGTGCATGTGGGCTTTCACATCTATCATAGGAACCACAGAAGTATAGGCTGCTTAAAGTGCTTCACCAGGAGAGCAGGCATGTGGCATTTGTGCAGGGGAGAAAACATTATTTGTGTCTGTGTTTTGAATTGCCGTTATATTCAGGCTTTGATCAAATGACAACTACCCTCTGATAATGTAAGGCTGTCCGTGTACATCATTTACGCCCTTACACAGTACTCACCCCATTATGCAGAACTGAAGGATGATGCCCTTCACATCAGCAGAAGTTTTACCACATTTTTTTTTACCGCACTACATTGTTTCCCCTACCTTATGTTGTTGGTGTGATTTGAATTCCCTTTGCTTTGCCCAGAATTTACTACTTTACTTAATTTACTACTTTTAATTTACATGTTTTTGTATCACTGAAGTGTTTCACTACTAAGTGCCAGTTTTAAGAACTCTGGAAAAACTGCCCATGAACTGGGTAGCTCCGCCTACACTACCAATTCTACCTATAGGAGAATTGGCAATTTACTTTAGTTGAACACTTTAATGTATAACCCAAAAGCTAACACAGTACCTCATTTAGCACAGGGCTAAATTAACCCGTTATTTTATGTGAACACATTAGAAGCAGCTCGTCATCTGTGACAACACAGGGGAAGCAAGTGATACGATGACAAAAACGTAACCACTAACCACTGCCAAACATTCAGGACCAGCCTTGGCTCTGCCGACTCACCAAAGTTATTAAACAGGGAAGAACCATATTTTTGCATGAAACTAGCAGAATATTTTCTCTCCTCAGAATAGTCATTTCAGATGTAGGGTAAAAATAACCTAAAAAACCCAAAACATGATCTAAGCAAAATGTAAAAATAAAATAAAATAAATAAATGAATGCTCCATCAATTACAAATTTCACATTTATTACCTAATGTGGTATTCGATCCTGTAGTAGTAAAGCACAATAAATACAATTTTGGTCTGACTATGATCTGTTATTCACTGTGTACTCTATACGTGTTTGTTCTCATTCAAACCATCCAGAGGAAATACTGTATTAAGTGCAGTGTGAAAACGGCATGTTTTTTTGAAATGACAAGATAGCTTATGCTATTAAAAAACTAACACAAACGAAAATATTGGTGAGGCTTGGCAGAAAATATTCAATTAGCATAAGACGCAAGTAAAAATACCTTAAAGTTGGCAAACTAGCTGAAACTCTGGCAATATAATTTCCATATTGATTTTATTTAAATATACATAGCAGAAAACTAGGAACAGAGAATTCTGGCGTGACTTGATCTCTCAATCACCCAAGTTCATGATAAAGTAATACAAAGAAATAGAGTAACATGGCACCCAAAACCATTGCAGTTCCCCATGCACTTTGATAATCCTTCCCTTGATGTTGACCTAAATTGCCCTCTGAGTTTACATTTCGCAGCATATAAGAAGCTATCATTATATTTCCGCAGTAAGCTCTGAATCCATTTTTCACACTGAAAGATTTTAATTATGTTTCTTACACTAACGTTGGTCAGATATTGATTTTAATAGAACAGTGACCGTGTGTATTGGATTTTGCAGAGTTTTTTTTTTTTCGTCTCCCTGAATGTTTATGAAATATTTATTGTATTTGAAATGTGCAGGCCTTGTTATCCTGCCAGCAGTGTAATGTGGGTAACTATGGACACAAGGTTTCATTTTCAGAATTGGTAGAGAATACTAATAATAAACTGGTGTACACAGAATATTTTATGTTATTTGTACAACTACATACCTATGTTTTCATATTATGAAAGAACTAGGAAACGGATTAAGCTCACACCTATACATATATGCAATGTCATACAGCGAAGTGATGCTTTTAGTGTAATGAAATTTTAAAATAAATCCTGACAAAAAGAAAATAGGACAGATATATGTTAGCTAGGAAAGTACAAGGACCTTTTTCTTGCCTCTTCCTTTTCTACTGGCTACAACATGGCCTGCAGCTAATTTTGTAATCAGTACATGTCCGAATGGAGTCGCCTCCTTTCAGGAAAAAAGAAAAAAAATCAAATCTGTGTGCTTCTGGAGAAGCCAAGTTTGCTCTTTCACCCATGTGTATTCCTCTTTTACCATGCCAGAATTTCTGAAATGTGCTGCAAAGGATGCGACCACAGTGATACATTAGCATTCTGAGTTCTTATCGTCATGATCTGTGTGTTTAAAGTGAACAGACTACTGCTGTAAACCCTCACATCAAATGATGTGGTTCACATATAATATGAGGCATCGTGTATTTCTGTCCAGGCTCTGAAGGAATAACAGGTCATGGATGAATGAGAGGCTGTGAACAATTCCTCATTTGTCTCTGATGTCAACTGATGACCAGGCTGTTGGATGTGCATACTGATAACAAATGAGAGCGCCCTTCGCTGACCCTGCTTGTGGCTAAAGATGCCAGGCTGCCAGACATAAATTCACTGAATAATCATTATGCCGGCCGAACCGCAGGGAATTAATAAACTCACAAATTGACTGTCTCTATTCGGGTCACAGTGTACACGCTGGTGTCTCGTCTAAATCCTCTGCGAGGTTAGAGGATAACACGGCGCCCGTGAGAAGGAGGATTACTATTTTATGTCGGCCTGTTTACTGTGACATCTGATAGCTAAACTGCAGCTTTTAATATTCACTCCAGCTTTTAAAAGGAAGGATACACTGCTGTCAGGTGTGAAACAAGGATGTCGTAACAAAGAAATTCTAAGGGACGAGCGGGAAGCTTTAAATCCAACGGCTTAAGGGCTTTACTTTTGCCAAATTTGTTTTTTAGCACAGACTGATACTGATACTGAGTGTGTCTTGAATGCATTTCCATCTACTCAAGCTTGTGCACAACGATTGTTTATCTTACTTTCCAAAACTCAAGCTGGCAAATGCATAATACATTGTAATTAATGCCACAAAGCACTATGTGCTTCAGCCAATATTTATTGTGTGGCGTTCAAACGGAGCACGCGGGCTAAGTGTGAACGGGACGTAAGCAGAAAATAGAGCCAAGATAAAAGTGGAGCCCCTGTGATAGAAAGATATAAAACCTGTCAGTCATCAGTCAAAATCTGATGCTTTCAAAGCCAACATTTTGATTCTATTCTAGGTTCCATTCAGGTACACGGGCAGACAACAATTAAAGACATCACTATAAAACAAACGAGACAATGTAAAGCTTTACAAAGTATCCATTAAACAACCATTTGTATCCAATTAACAAAGTTAAACAAAGACTAACAAAGGTCTGGTTAACTAACTGTGGTAAGACCATATAAACTGACCAACAACTAATGGTGACTGGTAGAACGTTACCATGGTGGTAGCATCATAATCTAGGACATAAAAACATCAGAAGAGTCTAACTTATGCTCGGGATCCAAAATACATGATTCATTGTCTCAAGATCCCAAATACCGTAGCAGAGCTAACTTTGTAATATCTGAATTACCATTACATATGCTTAATTAAGTTCCACCGAAATGTCAAATTCTGCTTTTTATAATAATTTAATTAGGCGTTGCCTAAAACGACTAATTATATAAAGTTCTGTTCTTCATTGATGGCATACCTCAGCATTCCATAATATAAACAAATTTAATATCCTGTTTTGGCTGTGGAAGTTCTACTGCATAACTGGTTTGACAGACACTTTTTCATCGAGGCAAAACGCAATCTAACATTGATGGAGTTCCCCTGAGGTGTTGAGGTGATTGAGACTCTGTCTGTGTCGACAGATACCCACATTCATCACCAACCTTGTTGTACCTTCTGTTTGGTTTTTTTTGCAGGTTTTATGACACATAGCATCTATCCAGGGCCGTGTGAACACAAGTACTGTGGCTTGGGGCGCCACTGCGTCGCCAACTACGAGAACGGCCAAGGAGAATGCAAGTGTTTGGACCAGTGTAAACCACACTATAAACCTATATGCGGCTCAGATGGGAAGCTGTACCAGAATCACTGCGAGCTCCACCGGGCCTCCTGCCTCACTGGACACAAGATCACCATTATGCACCATGAGGAGTGCTTCTACAAAGGTAAGCACTTCTCTGACCTTCTGCTAATGCAGTCTGTGCATGAATCATTGGATACTGTACATCTCTGATCTGTTCCACTTTCAAATATGCTTTTAGCCAAATTTGTCAGTCTCAACCTACTATTATCTTCACAAGGCAAATATGACCTTAGGGCTCCAAGGTAATGGAAATGTAGAGTGATTCAACTGAGGTCCTTTCCGTGAACTACAGGAAACAGATTCACCTTTTAAAGGAGCTGTTAGCTTAGAGAAAACCACCCTACCTTGCCTCTACTTTGCAAAGTACCCTTAATTTTCCATTAAAACCTGTATTTTGATTCCATAAGTGGTACGATTTTCTCTAAACTGCCATCAACTATCCAAGTTTTATCTTGTGCACCCCCTAATGGCAGTTCCCACACCCCCAGGGTTGCCTGCGCCGTACCTTGGGAATCACTATTCTAAGCAGGCGCTAAACTGTTCACTTTCTTCATTGGCAGATCTACTTACAGTAAATCATTAGTATTTAAGATTCATATTAACCCTAATCTGTGTTCTGTAGAAATTCATATTTTTTTGGGAACAGCATGTCCATTTATAGTAGCATTAGTGTAATAGTGGTGTTGGTTAATCCAAGCGTCACACTGAGAAGACATGGAAGGCAGAGTCATAATGAGGCTAACGATCTGAGTAAAGAAAATTACAATTCTGAAGTTAATGCATGCTCGATTTTATAGCCTGACACTTCATGACAAGGTTCAAGTTCATTTGACACAACGTTCATCAATTAGTGTGATACTGAAGACAATATAAAATCTAACCAGTTTCCAACAATTTTACAGTATCATAGACACCACTTTAACACCATAAATCAGACCTTTATAAAAAAAAGTGTTACCTGTTAAACAGGTGCTGTAGGAATAGGTAGTAGTGCTGTTCATGCTCCTCTTATTTCGCAAGATAAACTGACCTGTTCTCTACCACTGATCTTGTAAACACTGTGATTATTCTTATTCTCTGTCCACCAATTTTGTTCTGCCAAAATATGCACAGAAATAATGCTTGTGTGTTTTCTTTGTTTTGTTAAAATTTGCAGTTAAACTATTACAAGCCTCAAAATTAAAAAAATATGATAGTAATTCAGTGACATATATATATGAAATATCTTCAACATGGTCCAGACCAACACCACGCTGACACACTAATGGAGGGTGTTAATTAATAAAAAGTTGATAACAGAACCACTATTTTTTTTTTGCAAGGGCAAAGACTTATTTCAGGAGAAAGTGATTTCAACACATGATTAACCTCTAATCTTACAATTATACATTTGTAATTTCTTAATAAATATAATTGTGATGACTTATTTGGAGAAGCCGGCATGTCACACAGAAGGTTAGGTTTTAACAAGGCCGGTTGAGAAAATCAAAGGGAGAACATAGTGTTGAGAAGACAGTCTTCAATAAGAAGTCAAAGGTACGAGGCTCAGACAGAGCTCAAACAGGTACAGATGAAAACACACATGGCTAAAGTACATAACAGCTAAGCTAAGGCACACAGACAAAGTCTAAAAACATCACAGTCAGAGGTTGGTTCAGACACAGCCAGGCTCAGACACTGGCAGCAAAAGAGTCCCCATCAGAGTAGGGCGTATATATACAGGGGAGGAGTTAACAAGTCACAGCTTGAGATCGTTAGGTGATCACAGTGGAGGGAAAACACAGGTGATTGGAGCAGGTGTGGACACAAGGCAGAGAGTGGAGCAACTGAAAGAAAACCAGAAATAATAATAAAAATAACTAAAGCATAAAAACCAGGACAGCTGGATGTCGCAGTCTGTGTAGTCAGACTAAAACATTGTCAGACTAAAGATAAATTTAAATCTTTAAACAGACATTATATTACTTGGTTAAATATGTGTAAAAACACAGAAATCCCTTCACTATCCTCTTTGTTACATAGAAACACAATGTGTTGCCTCCTTGTAGCACTTTGACAGAACAATTGTACCAAGACTTGATGAAATATAATCTTGCAAATGCTTTAATTACTGTATATATTGTCATCTTATGACTTTATAACAAATGCAAAACTTCAACTCCGTCTGAGTTTGGAGACTCTACTACATTAATACGCCGGTCAGTACATTACTACGTTGGCAGGTCAATGTGGCCAATCTCAGCATCTGTTCCATTACAATCACAGCAAAGCATCAAGATCAATGATACATCTGTGGTGGGTGACAGTTGGGCTCAGCCTCTCTCATGTGTCATGTCCTGCACTGACACCCGTTCTGCAACCAAATCAGCATCCACCCGCAGTGGAGAGTGGAATCTTTGACCAGCATCAGGCAATCAATATCAACAGCAGCCAAAGCAGGATTAAAAAAAAGGTGGAGATATTTTCCATCTCATTCCATCCCTGGTATCAGCTCCATTTTTCTTTTTTCTCTGACTGATGTGTAATCAATTTCACATTGGACGAGAGCAGCAGGAGGAGGAGCACAAGGGCCTGTTGAAGTGATTAGTAATCTTTGCTAAGGGCCATTAGCTCAGGTGTTTTTATTCAACTTTACAGGTTTAGTGTATTCTGTGTGAAATGTGTAAAGTTGTTCAGCTGCAGTTAGTGTGGTCTTTGTTGCAGCTTTAAAAGGGAAGAGATAATTGACAAAATGGAACCGAGCTTATAACTGCATCTTGATGTTAGTAGATTAGTTAGTCGGCAGAGTAGAATGTGCCCTCGCTGGGAAGATGAATGTGTCTCTTGATTGTTGGTCTTCAAGGTGATGCTTTTAATTTACCAAAGAAGTTAAAGATTCAGTGTTTCATTGCATAATAATAATAATAATAATAATAATAATAATAATAATAATAATAATAATAATAATAATAATAATAATAATAATAATAATAATATCTCTGCATCCCTGTGTATGAACCTATCATTGAAGACGGTATTTTTTTAACAATTTCTTCAATTTATTTATTTATTTTTTCTCTGTGCTATATTCACATTTTATCTGTGCAGCACAGTTAATATTTATTTCAGTTAATATTTATTTCCACCATGTTTGATTCCATCATTCGGAGTATTACTTAAAATGGTCAAGGTCAGAATAATTATCCTTCTTACTATAAGGAATTAGCAATTTAATGAACCGTAGCACAGCACAATTTGTTTAATAATATAATGACCTTTATGGCTTTGAAGGGAGACATTTGGTTATTGAACCATATATATTCTTCAGTGTGAACCTTCTTCTGACTGAATGTGAAACAATACATATGATACTAAATACTAGTAAGTTAGTAAATCTGACTATCTGACTGCTCATTTAATATATATATTTGTATCTTAATAACACATGCACAAGTTGTCTGATGTTTTTTTTTTCCATGTGGATGTGGATTAAAACTAAGTCAAATGTTGCCTACAGTGCTGCCTGGTAAAACTATCATTACAGCAGCATAAGGTTGTCTTTCTGTCCATTAAACTGAGGATATACGACCACAGGCTGTTAAATTCACAACAAAATGCCATAAATGAACTGTCATTGCAGAATGGATGACACACCAGCTCTGTGCTATCGCTCTGCTGACTGCCACAAATTGGCTCACACTTGTTTGTTGTTAGAAATACAGGAGCTAATAAAACTGCAAACAACACGTCAATGCTGGTATGTCTTATTTATTTTGCACATTCATTCGCTGATCAAACAATCGGTGCAAAAAACTAATTTGAATTATTCAGGGCTACAATCGGATTTTGAATTCTGAGGAGCTTCACCATCAGTGTTGCACTGATCGTCTGTAAGCTTTTTATTTTAATCTGGTTATTCATTCTTTACAATTGTAATTTTATTATATATGTAGTAACAATAAGTTTGAGGTATTAATTGATAATATGGTTGACATTATTTTCTACTTAACTGTTATAAGTGGTTTCTAATTTTCTTCAAATATGTCTCTCTAGTTGATGCCTCGGCAACACAACCGAAACTCCGCTTTACGTGCATTTGACAGACAGATAATTAATCACATTGAGCAGTTATTTAAATTAAAAGTGGATATGTTTGATGAGCGTCTGCACAGATGACGAGTCTTTCTATTGGTTCTGCTCTCAGTTGGTTGGTCTAGTGTGGAAAATAGACAGAACATATTAGCCAGTCCTTTTCTGTGCCCTGTGTGTGCTGTGGAAGACAGGATAAAAAATGACAGCCATGTGTTGATTGAAGCTTCTCATTAGCACCGGGGAAAAAGCCCATGACCCTAATTTTCTTTTTGCTCTGCACAAAAAAAGCTGGACGGATTTGATTAAAAATGAAGTGGTGCAAGAAAGTCTGTTCATTCCGCTTAGGGCAATGTGTTCAGGAATTCAACAGTCTCTGCAGCGAGTTGGTGGCCGAATTAAGAGACAATCAGGGCAAAGGTATGACTCATGAAGCAAGTATTCTTTTGTGTGTTTGTGTATCTTATTACCCGGCAGAGACTGATTTAAAAAAACATTTAAATGTGGATCATTTTTTCCCCACATATTCACACAACAACAATATCTACTACTAATACTAGTACTACAGCTGCAATTACTATCTATCTATCTATCTATCTATCTATCTATCTATCTATCTATCTATCTATCTATCCATCTATCCATCCATCCATCTATCTGTAATATGTATGAGTTTGGGGAGAAGGTGTAAGACAGATAGTGAATGTGGTTGTGAATAGTGGAGTGAATGTGGAGTTGAATAAACCATGATGTAGTCCCACAGACTAGAGAATCCCCTGTACCTAGCAGAGTTTAGCAAGCTTAGATGGATTTTATTGAAATAATCATAACAGAATAAACCTAAAGCTGAGCAGTTTGAAGATATGGTTAAGGAGAAAGGTTTAGATGGTATTTTTCAAGTGAACAAATTAGATAGTTTAGTTAAGTGAGTCTAAACAGCAAGACAAATACTCGAAGACCAACTTTTAATTACATCAGCGATCAATACTTCTATGTCAGAGGCTAATGTGTTCC